TGTTTACTGTGAAGTTGATATTAGCCTTAAGGACCTTACATGGAGAATCCATAGAAAGTCTTTCTGTTGAATCAGAAACCATGGAACCCTTTTCAAACGGGTCAGCAGTGACTCGTTCTCACCTCGTGCTACATGTAACACACCGAAGGGTTAATTATGTCCAAAATTGTATGCCTGTGCTGCTGTACTGTGGTGTTCCTGACTGTATGACTTTGTTTTGTACTGTCAAATAAAGTATAATTAATTCAGTTATTACATTTAAAATGTTTGTCTTCTTCTTTTGTCTCTATCTTAGTAATTTGACCCAAAAAAGCCAAAGTAACTACTTGTTCCTGTATATTTTATCTGTGTAAGAACTTTAAATATTCATTTCTACATGATATTATAATTCACGTTGCTGAGTCACTGTGCACTTCTCCTTGATGGACCTATTTAATAAACAAAGCTACTATTGTGAGATTAAATGACATATCTCTTCATTCTACCAGTGCACACAGGCGCTTCAACACTTTCTAAGGTACCTGTATAAATGTCAGGGCTCCTCTTTATTACTTGTACTAAACAACATGAATAATAATGACCCATCATAATGTTGTGTGCAATATTCTATTTACAGATCTATATCCACATGTTCATCTAATCACAGTCCTAACACAACGAAGTAGCTGTAATTGTTGTAGACCTTTTTTGAGATTGGTCAGCATGAGCCTGAATCAACAGTGTTTATTACAGTAACCATGAGTGAAAACACACCGTCTCAGGGACAATCCACACAGACAGAGAAACCAATATCTACAACAGACGACATCAGAGAATGATTAGCGTCTAAAAGGCTTTGGGATATATTGACATGTTTTCTAATCAGTGTGTGCCCTGGTTTTTTCACTTGAATTAGATATTTTTAAAATGTTTATACACCATTGACCTATTGCAACAAAAAAAAAAGCAAAGTGTCACATTTATTTTGGACAGGCTAGCCTACCATGTTGCTCGTGGGTGTATTGTTCAGTAGTTATTATAGGCTACATAAAACAGAAAGAACTTTGTGTACCAAATGTGCATGGCACCGTTTCCCTCCATTTCATCCCTGACCAAGCACAAAACATTTGTCCCTGTGAAACTAAAAGTGGCTGAAATACAGTACAGATATGACCCTGGAAAAGGGAAGTTTGATTATTATGTCCCTCCAAACAGGAAGTCTTTGATATTCATATTAGTGTTGTTTTCCATCACATCTGTATTCCATTATAATCTGCACACACCAATCTCTAATGTTGTCACACTCTACAGAAAGAGATTAGCTGTAGCATTAAGCTACATGCATAGAGGACACATCTGTAAAATAGAGACGTGATTTAATATCTTACAATACAGATTCATCTAAGACCATTGTCCACATGTGGCAGTAAACGTGTTGATGTCACTCATACCATCATCTGTTATCCATGTGTGTGGTCCAGGTATTACTCATATTGGTGGGGCCTAAATGTGTTTACACAGTCACATAATGGAGACTTGTCTTTCTTATAGGGACAAAAAAAAAGTCCTCATAATGTAAATCATTACATTTTGAGGTGAACACATGTTTAGGATACATTTTGACTTTGTCAAAGGACTATGACACATGTCTGCTGAGAGGTTTAAAAGGTTCCATTATCAAATCCTATCAACAACAGCAGTTACGTATAATTCCATGTCTTGACACTGGTGTTGAGACTGAAGGGATGTAAGGAAACAAATTGACTTGGTTTCATTTATGCAATACAAGCTTGGTCTTGGAATTGAGGTGAAGAGGCACCAGTACCTTTTGGTAATTCATTTTGATCTCATGCAACACACACAGAGAGACAAGTATGGAGCAAGATTCACTCAATTCTATCCCAGATCTCCACAAACACTTTGTTTAGAAGTGAACTTATTTCTCAGATGTGTGTTTGCGTTTAATGTTGATGTGTGGGTTGGACTTGTTATTTGGTTGACACTGTCCTCTACTGGAGGAGCATAGGCACTGCATAATACTCCATGAACATCATCATTGGGCATTACACTACATCACATATCATTTAGCTGACGCTTTTATCCAAAGCCACTTCCAATAAGTGGATTCAACATCAGTCATCATCAAACGTACATAACATTGATGCACCTTTATATTCATGCATGTTGTAAATATTTCAATTTTGTTTGTGCTCTGCTACACGTGGCATCTACTACACTTCGCTCTGTCCTGGGAGAGGGATCTTGACTTTTGTCTCTTTCAGACTTTTCTGCATTTCTTTCTTTGATTGATCGATTCAATCATGACTGCAACATGTGCATTTGGTACATTTTGAAGTCAGTCAATCTCTCCTGTATATTTTAATGTGTGGCTGTAATTGTAGTCCACACAACCTTCTATAGCACCATCAGGTGACTTCAAGAGGGTACTGCATCCAAAGGAGAATAGAGTTAAGGTGTGCATGTGCAGTGATGCATCTTTGCAGTTTAAAGGAAATAATGTTATGAGATATAATAATGAAGTTGATGTTCGTTGATGATTAACCATGCTTTCATAAAACCTTTTTAAAAATCACAGAAACTAAACTGTATCAAACCACATGATGTGGTATAAGGATCACTTGGTAACATTTGAACATTCGATATGCTTTTCCTGTACATGATTACAATTTGTGGATATAATTGTAATCAACAGTAGATACGTTGGAATGTACCGGTGCAGTGGTGCATCTTTGTAGCACAGGCAATACTGATATACGATATAAATCCTACGGATTGTATTGATGATTAACTATGTTTTTATACATTCACTGAGGAATTCATAGATATCAGACTTTATCAAACTGTAACCTGTCGTACAGGAATACATTTGATGAGATTTGAGCATTAATCTTTATTTCTCCTGTATAATTCATACCATTCACTATAGCACCATCAGGTGTCTTCAAGAGGGAATTGCATCCAAAGGAGCAGGTACTTGGACTGTGCAGGTGCAGTGGTGCATCTTAGCAGTCTGGACAACACAGTTATATAATAGTCCAGATTGGTAAATGATTAACCATGTTTTCATACATCAAACTTACAGAAATCTAACTGTATCAAAATTGATGCTGTGGCATGATAAGTACATTTAGTACGATTTAAGCCTTATTTGTTGGCAAGTGAAAAACATACTGTATATGCATTTACTCTCAATATTTCGAATTAATCATAACTATAAATGCTGCTATGAATATACTTCTGTTTATGTCCATCACGTTTTAAATCTAATATATTGCACGTGCTTTTAATTGGGTCGGCAGGAAACGTCCCACTTCAAAATCAAATGTACCAAAAGCAAAGTACATGTGTCCCTGTGGTGGTGCAACACCTCCACAACACAAACATGTTATTTATCCCACTTTCTGCGTGTCACCGGGAGCCTGCGATCTGCAATTGGTCTCTTGATGCCCAATTAACTTTCTTCAACGGCTGCTGCAGAGTTTCCTACAGTTTAAAGAGCTGCAGGTATGTTTACTTTTAATCTTCTCCACTTACGCAGCTCATCATGCATGTTTGCAGTTCTGTTTCCTGCACGCGCAAAATGTGATTTGAACTAAATAGATATGTTCTTCTCCTCTTGAGATAATGATTGACTGCCTGCTGATTACAACGGTGGTAATCGGTGAGAGAGCAGCGGCGTGTTCCCATAGATACATCCCAACACATGAGCTCTCCTGACGCTCAGGCTGCATCGTGGGGAAACTGCACGAACCCGCCAGGCTCTCACCTGCTGCGCGTACTTGGCGCCGATAGGAGCAAGCGAGGCTGGATAACTCCGCACAGTTTCCGCTGCAGCACATTGACTCTCTGCAAAGCTTGAGGATAGTTGACTGTTACAACGTTGGATCACGTCTACGCTTACATGCACGTGGTTCTGTTTTGATAACTCAACCTCATTTAACCTGTGAGCAGCATTTGGCTCTGGACGCTGAAGTGCGCAAAACAACTCCTTGAACATCTTCGTGCCGCGTTCTGCTCCACTTAACCCTGGACGGGTGGCCAGCATGGAGCAGCTCTAATGTAATTACAATGGCCTGTAAGCCTTTGTCTTGCAGCCCGTATCAGCCTGTCCCAAGTTTGTTTTAACAAAGATCCCCCTCTCGCTCTCTCCGTCGCGCGTCAGCCCGCTTTTACGCACGAACAATGGGCTCGGAGAAGCCAAACTTTTTGTCGCAGCCGGTGGTGAAGAACGTTTTCATGTTCCGCAACGGTGACCCGTACTACGATGCTCGCCGGATAGTGATAAACCAAAAGAGAGTGTCCAACTTCGAGACGTTGCTGAGAGAGGTGACCGGCGGAGTCCAAGCCCCGTTCGGAGCGGTGAGGAACATCTACACGCCCAGAGGAGGCCACAAGGTGGACAGTTTGGAGAGCCTGCAGAGCGGGGAGCAGTACGTCGCTGCCGGGAGGGAGAGGTTCAAAAAGCTGGAGTAAGAATGCATTGTAATTATGACAAATGATGAACTACTTGATACTTTTCTCATATTCACATTGCAAGTTACAGTTAGTCCCAAGCAATTCTAACTGCAAACTATACATGCATGTCAATCAGTCACTACTTGGCCGGATGACCATGGTCTTAACGTTTTAAGTGACTCAACAGTTTTACACCAGTGGATCTGAGTCACATCACTGAGATAAGCATGATGAGATCAGCCCTGTAGAGAGGTGTGCTGCTCTGGCCTGGCTTTAAAAAGATGGACTTATGCAGCAGGTAATGAGATTTGAGCAGCCGTGTTATTCATAGAAAGCAGTGGTGAAGCAGCTAGGTGGGAAGACATTCTGGGGACATGACAAATAGCCAGGGAAAGATACTGGGTATATATCCTCTCCTTTATAGAGCTTAATATATATTGCACTTCATCGTCCTCCTGTCCCACTCGCATGCATACACCACATTATCACTTTAGACTTGAAGTATTGGCTCTCAAAAGGAATTGTGAGCAAAAATCAATTTTAGTGCAGAAGATAATACAATAAATGCATTAATAATTGACCAACTAAGCATGTACTTGCACTAAATATCTTTATATTTGTTTTAAACGAACAATGCACATTACTTAACATGCATACTTAATTCCATCTTATAAATTTGCCATGCAGGGTCATTTTCATATGCAGTCCCTGGCAAGTTGATGGTATAAAATAAAGATAAATTGCATATGCACATGTATAAAAACACACTCCTTATATGTTGATTGTAAATTTGCTATTTGGGTTGTGTAGATGATTTGACTTGACCTTATGTTTTGTTTTTTCTGCAGTTACCTCCACATTGGATCTAGAAAGAGGAGGTTGCTGCAGACTCTTCCGATGCAGGTAAGTCAGGAGAAAATCTTCTCTTCTTATTTCTGTCATAGTCAGAAAAGGTGACTTTATGATGGATGCAATCAGATGCCAGAGCTCAACATGTTCTGCTTGTTCTCTGTGCCTCAGTTATCGTGCAGCATGGTGATCGTGCTATGATCTTTAGCACCATATAAACAATCTGCTGAGATGGAAGCTGTTTACATAATTTAAAGTGTCTTGTCAGTCACTCGGACAGTGTTGGTGTTTGGTGGATCCTCAGCCAAAGAAGATATATTTAAAAAAATCACACACTGGAATTTATTCAAGGATCCGTTTTTGCTTGATATCCATTTGTGTGAAATCTGTGAAGTTGTATGACAGTGAACACCTTAATCACAGACGCGTTGTGTGAACTTTATCGTCTGGTGTTCAGTGAGATTTAGTTTTGCAGATTAATGAAACCCATCAGCAGCGGCTATGTTTTCAAGGTCAGGTTTCAGTTACAATATCCTTACTCAATCCAACTCTTCAACATTTGAAACTGCTAAATGCAAGATACATGAGGATTTGGGAACATCACCTCCGCACTCGTGCCCCCCCCTCCCACAGTGTAAAGGGCTTAGAAAGATCATTTAAGCGAGGTGTTATGTTTAGCTTTTCTCCCCCTTTGTTCTCTGCAAAGAATCACTATGTTGTTGTCTCAGTGGCCATGAATTATTGATTTATGGATCATAATCATCCCTCCTTTGGATGCATCTTTTATCAGCAGCTGTGAAGTCACGGCCAAGAGCGGCTTAAAGTCGGGCTCGTCCAGGTCCTGTTTCCAAATGAGACAGAATGTTTTTTTCTTTCTTTTTTAAATACGAAGTTAATTCTGTTCTCCCCTCACATTTTTACAGGGACAAACTTATTTTAGTCAATGGGTCACACAAGATCTCTGTCAGGACTCTTGGTCCTAAATATGAGATAGAAACTTTTGTCTCTGGCCTTGTGGTCAGAGCCTCAGAGGTGTTTCCTGTGTGTGAACCCAGCCTCTCTCCACTGTCTGATTTTTTGTCATCACAGAAAACCTGAAGGGGCTGTTGTTGCTGCTGTGATTGGCGAGCATAAAAAGTACCAATTCAGTTCTCAAGGGCCTCCTCACTACAGCACTTAATCTGGCTGATTGTGTCGATTAATGATGAGAACTCTTAGCTGGCTGGACGCTCGGCAACTTAGGTTTTCTTGTCCTATTGATTTTTGGAGTAATTGTAGGTTGGTTTAATGACGTCTTTGATGACCCGTTTTGCATTTGACTAATTTCTTCAACATGTCAGGATTTGCCTTCTGACAATGGTCACAAACAAATCCTTCTTCTCTTGCACACAGTAGATCTGATTTGTCGTTTATTTGTCTTTCATCATTGACATTTGCATTTGCATGCGTGTTATTGCTTGTTTATTAGTTAGCAGGATTACACAAAAACAAGTGGACAAATTATCACACCACTTGGTAGAAGGATGTGGTGTGGGTCAGAGCAGAGCCCATAAAATGTTGGTGTGGATCGTTTACCTTGATTCCAATAATTCATGGTTCTTGAAAATCATTTTTTCATTTAGTGTTTGGCACAGATCCCAATAACTATCAGGATCTACTTTATATAAAAAAGGTTTCACGAGGACACTGGTCGGCCTTGGCACAGTTGAAGAGCACTGATTTCGTTGAATCTTGCATCTGCACTCACAGAACTGTACTGCACTGTACATGGAACCCAGTGGGTGAAGAGTAAAGTTTATCACCTGTATAAGATGTTTTCTTGGTTTCCTATTAAAGGTGCAATAGTCAGTGAATTATTATGCCATGTAAACTCACTATTAAAAGCTTTAAGTGACGGATGGACACAAAAAAAAGTTGAGGTGTTCTTGGTGAACACGCTTATAAGAGGTCACATGATGTAAAATAAATCACTGTCGGTAGAAAAACATCTAATCTAGTATTTATATTTGCTCCCTAGAGACTGATTCATGTCCTGCCTTGCTTCTTTCTGTTTGTTCCGTGGTGGACTGGTTACCAGCTGTGCTTTGTAGCAGACGTCAAAGGCAAATTATCCAAATGGAAGTGCAATTGCTTTTTTTAATGAGCAGCAAATTAGGGAATTTTAAATATTTCAGTAATTATGTGAAGTAAAATACACTGTAATGTTTTCTGATGCATGTTATTTATAGTTTGTAGCCTGAGATGTGGTGCACAAACTCTTTTTACAGCACTTTATTATATTTTTTATTCCACTTGTGGTCTGAACCTCTGTTACCAGGGTGCACTCACAGACCCCAGAGGACTTTTAATACGCCTCCTTCTCTCACAGGATTCAAATCTCAGTCTTAGTGTCACAGTGTGTTACCAGGTGTTATGGGACAGGACCTGCGGAGCTCACTCTCTGCGACCTTGCCCCCTCAAAGGGTTATAGAGGGATCATTCCTTTTGCTGTCACAGTGATGAAAAACTGATTATTTCAGCGTTAGCAGAAGCTCTTTCTCTGCGGCTTTTGGGATAAAAGCTTTTAATGTCAAGAAGAATGTTGTTGTACAAAAAAAAAGCCGAAAACTTCATTAAAATGTGGATGGACTTAAAGAAAAATGCATTAAAAAAAACTTTGTACTATAAACACATAATGCTCTATCAGCCAGCTCCATGTTGACTCTAATTCTCTAAGCACCGCTGCCCCTAGAGGACGCACACGTGGTGCTATATTTGCACAGGTCTGTTCTCCTGAGCCTCCACTGGGAAACTCAGGCCGTCCTTAAATCCCAAGTGGAACTCACTGATGTGCCAACAAACTTGCAAACATGTTTCATCCCTCTGTTTCAGGCCAAACCGCTGCCACAGACTCGAATCATTGTGTCGGCTCGATTCCTGAAACCCATCAAGGAGCCATGTACAATATTGTGAGTAAAAGCTGCCCAATGAAACACCACTTAACCACTTACAATGCATTAACCTGAAATTAATTCTGAAGAGGTCACCACAGAGATTCAACCATTATTTAATATGACAATGTGTTTTCAGTAGCATCCTCCACAGCATTTTTAATTAACTTGACAAAGTCTGTATTATTTTGTACTAAAGAGAATAAATAGTAAGCCCAGTTAGGGAATAGGCTACAATCAGCTAGTACTTTTACTTTTAATATTTAAAGTATACCTCAAAGCTATTACTAACTTACTTTCACTTAAGTAGAGAGTTCCTGTGGTACTTTTACTTGAGTACATTTTGAATACTTCCTCCACCCCTGTATATACACAATAATATTATCTTTGAATGAAGTGGAAGATAATTTCATAGACTGATGATTTCTGACACATGAGCTCAGAGGGATACCCGTCACCATGGCAATCCCTCACTGTCACTTGTGCTTGTCACTTCCTTCTCGTAGCGTGGTAGCGAATGGCGACGTGTTGAACCCTGCAGTGAGGCTGCTGATCCACCAGAGGATGCTGGGCCAGTTTGAACGAATACTAGAGATGATCACAGAGAAGATGGGTTTGAAGGTCCTGGGGGGTGTCCGAAGGTAACATTCACCAAACATCTCTCTACATGAGGATGTAATGTCTTCGTCTTAACGTAATAAATCAAGAACACGACACGACATGAGCTTCAGACTTACACCACATGTTCGTCCCTTATAGCAGATGATCTCATTAGATTTTTCAGCACCTTGCTGCATAAATTTACATATAAATGAAAAAGAGAGTTTTTTTCAAACTGCTTCCAGTCATTTATGCTAACATAGACTTTTTTAAATAACCTTACACACACATATATAGATAGATAGATAGATTGTATCCATACATGATTTTAACCTGATTACATTTACTCCTGTACTCTCATATGGTCGTGTACTATCTGATCACAAAGAACTGGGTGTAAACCGTGTATTTGTGTTCTAGTCTCTTTACCTACGAAGGCCACCAGGTGACTGATGGGAATCAGCTGGAGAGCGGTCAGCTTTATGTGGCTGTAGGAAGAGACAGGTTTAAGAAGTTGCCTTACAGTGATCTACTCTTCACCAAACCAAGAGGGACCAGGAGGGTGAATGGGTAAGCACTGACCCACAGGACATGTATGCAGCTGGACATCTTGATCAAAAAATGCAAAGAAGTCTGGGATGTTATCAAACATCTGCATTGTTATTTGCCTTTATAAAAATGATTGATGATAATATAAGGCGTCATTTTATAGGAGATTGTTGGGAGCAATATTTAATGCTTTGTCGAGTACCTGTACTCACACCTACCTTTCAATCTGGAATTTAAAAATGTTGTTAATGCACAAACTGACGTAGAAGCTTGAAAGTTTGTGATTATGTGTTCCTTAAATTGAGCAAGTTATTACAATAAACAATGAACTCTTACTAATCATTAGTATGAAGAGTGTTGAGTTCCTCGTCAAGAGGAAGAATGAATGCTTTGGAGAGATGGTTCTTGGAGACTGTTCAGATTGTGTTTGCATGTGTTCCAGTGTGGCAACTAATTACTCCTCCAGGGTTCATATTCTCTTTCAACTCTCCTGTAAGCTAAAGTCCCTCAGCTCCAAATATTACTTTCAACATGAATTATTTGCATGTGAGCAAAAATACAATAAATGCACAAATTAAAAATGTTTACTGTTTTCAGGCACATGTTGATAACAAAGCAATTAATTTTTTTAGTTTTTAAAATAAAAAACACAATATTTAATTGGTTATTTCCATATTTCCGGTGTTTGGAAGATTAGAGCATCATTGATGAAACATATTATTCACATTACTCAGTGTTTAAAACTCACAATTATCATTCAACCCTACATTTTTATTTTCATTTTCAGATTAACTTGATTTCTAATGAGATTGATGGAGCTGATTTAAGGTGCATGTGTTCAGGATTCTGTGTTGCAAGAAGAACTTGACTAAGTCACATATGTTTTGTCCACAGAGTGAAAGCTTACTCTCTCCCACCTATCTACAGATTCTCCAAGCAAAATGGAAACGTAAGAACTGCTTTCATTTTGATCATTAACAAAACCCTGTTGAGCGATTTCCTCTCAGCATTTTTGTCAGGGGGGTGCTGTTGTTCACACACCCTGAAGTGCACAATGTCAGAGCCGACTCTACACTCATTGGTGGAGGAATATCTTAAAACAACCTTGGATTTATTTATTTTTTCTTTGTTTCTTGAAGTAAATTGAAAATCAGAGCCAATTACAGAATTCTGCTGATTTATTTTAAATTATTTTCACAATAATCTATAATCTATAAGTAGTTATATCACATATATGTTTGTATAATTAAGTTGTTTTCAGTCAAAATAAAATATAGAAACACATTTGCCAGTCTTAAAATGTTTCAACTCCTTTCCCCAGCTCTAGCCAGTGTAAGCGTTAATCTCAAAAGGAGGTGGCTCCTGAGATTTTGTACGTCCTTTATTATTTCCAAATTGTAACTCGAGTCTTTATTGGTCTTTCATTGACTAACAAGACTTCCACTTTTCCCAGAGCAAGTCCATAGCCCGGTGTAGTGATAGTGGAGGTGGAGAATCCAAGGCGTCTCCTCCAGGCCACAATGGAAACAACAAGGAACACCTGTCGTCCATCGTCAGAGAAATCTCTCAAGCCAGACTCATCTCTTTCAGGAAGAAGAGGAGCGGACAGAGCATGACCCTCACTGTCTCTGACAATGGTAATTCAAGATCCTATAAAAGAATGTGAAGAGGAATGTGTTTATATTCATTCAGAGTCAGATATCAGGAGAAATTACACTTTGGTTCAGTTTATGTAGAGTCAATGAAAAACAAAGCAGTGGGATAGATAAGCCAAAAAAAGGAAATGCATCTGTTTGGAAGAATATGTGAACAAAAAATTCCAATATAAAAAAGTTAATAAACCAAGGCACTCTTGGTTTATTAACCGTATTAGTGAGATATCAGGAAATGACATCATAGCTAATTATCATAATAGACAGCCCAAGACTCAAATAAGAGGTAATAACAGACTACAGACAAAACACAGAACAACTGCACTGGTACATTTCTGTAAGGATCTCTAGTTCAGTTAGCTGCCAAATTATATTTCATAATACTATTATATTCTATATTAATACAGAGATCTGTCCTAACAATTACTTCCACTTACTACAGCTCTTTGCAGTCACCACACAAAAGGGCTTAGATATGATGTGCTGACATTTAAAGAAATCAAGTGTCCTCACAACTAAAGAGAGATTAATGAGTGTTTGTGTGTGTGCCTGCATGCACTGTTCATAAATCCATGATGAATTGAATATCCAGGTGGGTGTGTGCATACATGTGTGATTGCATGTGTTGGTGCAATTCAGAAGATGAGTGCATGGCTTAAAAAAGAAGCATCTTCCCTCCAAACACAACAACAACATGACACTGGCACACACTGAATTCATTTGCCCCTCGGTTATTGTGTCTGAAATTGTCTTTTGTGATAAATAATTTCTAAAGCATGTGGCACAAACAGAGCTGTACAACCTACAGGATTATAAACTACAGAGACATGATGTAATGCGCGGTCTTTGAAATCTTATGTAACCTGCTGCCTTCTTAAATGCCCACATAGTGGCACTGTTGCTCTGCACAAACGGAAATATTTTAAGTAGGTCTTGTATGATGACATTACCCACTATTACAAGAAACACATTACGTCACCTTCTGGGCTTGTGATCAGTGTGTTTTTACATCCTGCAGAAACTCTTTACTTTTCTGCTTATTTGCAACTGGTACTCGTCCTGCCATGATGATGTTTCGCTGCTATGGGAGCCAAACATATATTCTTCATGAATATTGTTTGTATTGTAAACTACTGTAATAACAAGGGGCGGGGTAATTGTTTGATGAAAACTCTATACGAGAAGGGATTTAGATTTTCTGCAGATGGTGCTGACCTTATTGTAACTCCTCCTGCTGTGTGAACCACATTACATCATCATGCGGCTCATGATAGATGTGGCCTCTTTTCTCCTCTGGCAGGAGAGTTGACAACAGAAGCCTAAAGGCGGGGGGGCTGTGTCTGGGGTTCAGGGGAGCTGGCATTTTGCATCAAAAACAGAGGTTCAAGGAATCTGTGTTTGTGTGTACGTCTGTGAGTGTGCGTTTGAAATACATAATGTCACCCTCAAAGATCCTCTGTACATCAGACTTTGTGGCATATCATGTTATACGCACCGAAAACCACGTTGTGTTATTGGTCCCCTTGGGTGACATTGACCAGAGATTGAATTAACAGACAGACAGCTCGGAAAACAAGATCAGGCATCAGACAAGATCGTTTGAACGGCTTAGGGAGGGAATATCACATTCTCATGCACCTTCCACTGTTTGACCTGTAAAGTCTTTTTGTGTAAAAGCTGTCATGTTCACAAGGAGCCCATATTTTACTTTTTCGCTTGGCTTCGTCTCTTGGCGTGAAGTCTCTGTTTGGCCGTCAGTCTGTCTCTGTCCGTGGTGCTGAACAGACTTTATTTACGGTACAGTAGGTTTCAGGTTTCTTTGCTGTTTTTTTTGTTCATTGCTTTTTCTGTATAAAATCAATGCTTACTTGCTATTTGTCCATTTATCTTTCTTAAAGTAAACATGAGCTAATATCATAGCCGCTTGGTTCTAAATTGTTTTCATTCCTCGTAGCATTCCCAGGGCAGGTAGTGTGTTTTGGTCTTGTTTGTCCACTTTAGCTTCAAAGAGGGATCGTGGTGTTCAGATCAACTCTATTTAGTGATTCACAGCAGAGCAGCCATGTTTTTTCAGCATTATTCTCCCCTCGGGGAAATCCTGCCCTGTTTGGGTATGAGGTAAACACATCCCCGATCTGCTGCCAGTAAGGATCCCAGCCAAAAAAAGTTGGCTGACTTGCAGAGTGTGTGGAAAGAACACAGTATGAAACCCACACTTCTGATCCCTGGTGTGATGGAACATTGGAGCAAAAACAAAAAGATTATTACAAAAGTGTCATGTCATTATAAATGTATTTGTGACAGAGGGGAGATAGGGATTCATAGATGTAAAGAGAGATATGAGAGACAAAGAGAGAAGAAGAAGAAAAAAAGGCAAATGAGACAGAGTGACCTGGTAACTTGAGATTCACCTGCTGTTCTGCGCTGACTCTGTTGTGACAGCGAGGTTCGTTTTTTTGTGTGTGCGTAGGTGTGTATGTGTGCCGGTACGCCAGTCCCCATTATTCACTGTCTATCAGCTGCTGGGAGCCAGTCGGAGGATGACTACAGCGGTTTCTGTCTGGTCTATTGTAAAGCCTCTGACTTTTCTGCTTCATTAGAGTGAACACAGCGGTTAGTGACAGCAAAGACAAGAGGGAGGCAGTGTGACAAGTCATGCAGCAAAGGTCATGGAATGAATTTGAACTTACTATAACACAGACATTTGGCTTAAAAGACTTAACCAACAAAACATATTGCCTGCTGTCTGCTTCACACAAAAGAGTTATACCTTTATATCCGCTCCTTTAAATTAGTTTTCCTGTGTTAATTCTCTGGAGCTACTTCACAATTATTCCCTGTCATTAGTGAGTCCACCTCAAACTGTTCTACAATATACTGTCAGTTTTTATTGTTTATGCGCTGTACGTTGTGTGCAGAGCTTTTTACAGTATGAGATGCAGAGGGAACTTAGAAAACTTTGTGTCCATTCTACCTGGTTTATCTGCAGTGAGGATTCGATTGTCAAAGTCTTTCGTAAAAAATGAATTCTCTTACTACCATTTACATGTGTAGTGAAAATCTGTGGCAATCCCAACTTCCCAACTTTTCAAAATGAACGCTCTATAACTCTGCTTAATATGAAGCATTGCAGCAACAAAACAAATACTGTGCTTTTACTCTGAAGACATATAGACAAACATTATGGGATTCAATGAATGTTGTTGCCATGACAGAGATCTGCAGAATGTGAATGTGTCTCAGTTCAATATGATGGCATTGAAAAAAATCAAATAAGGCCAATCATTTTTATCTGTTGGTAATTTTGACCCACGGTTTGACCCAGTTACAGATCACTGCTGGAGTTTATCTGAGGCCGTAAAACAAGACACGTTCAACTCACACACTCTGACTGCTACAGAACGCTGGTGGCCTGTTTATTCAAATTCAATGAATACTGAATGTGTTGTGTGTCAAACCTGGATCTGCACTTTCTCTGTAAATTTACGATAAACATGACATGACACAGACGTCGGTAGATTACTGCTCCAGTCTGGACAATGTTAGATTTTCGTCCAAAAAACACATCTAGTTGTGTTGCTCATGTTCAGTTTGTAACCAATTAGCAGCTGTTGCTAACCTCAAAATAGAAATAAATACATTCTTTTTTTTTAAAGGGCCTTTGTGATCAGTTCAGTTTAATGGGGTCCTTGAGAAGAGAGGGGAGAGGAAGTGAGAGAAGAGAGCAGCAGGAATGGGAAGAAAAGGAAAAGAATAAAAGGTGGAAGAAGAGGTCGACAGATGAGGGGCAGACAGGAGCCAAAGAGAAGGGATGATTAAAGAGAAGGTTAAAGAAGAGGGAATGAAAGGTTGAGACGATGAAGGGAGGAGAACATTACAAGGAAGCAGAGGAGAAGTAAAAAAAGGAGCACAGGTGGAAACAAAAGGTGAATATAATGAATAGTCTGAAATGGTAAAGCACAATTGCTGGGAGTAAAGAAAGGCACAGGGATATACTGTAGGGGAGAGGGACTGATTGGGTTGGGATAATTGACTTTCATTTGGATAATCTCTCCATTTAGAGTAATCAAAGCAGAATTTTACTTGTCTCTGCCCTTTGCTGGGGCCAAATTGCTGCTCGGAAATCAACAAAAGTGCTTTGCACATCAAGAAGGGGAGGACAGACAGAAAGATATGGACAGGAGAGGTGGGCGGTCCGACTGATTTTTGTGAATTCTTATATGACTTATGCATATACATGGAGGGGGCACATTATCATAGGCTTTTTTTAAAATAATAATTAGAAGAATTTATTTATTTTCAAAAGCACAAAGTGCTTCACAAAATACATGGGAATAAAACAACTCAGAACGAAACAAGACAAATCAAAAATAAGAAAGATGACATAAAAGAAAGTACTAAAAATAAAAGATCCTTTAAAGCCAGTTGAAATTTGGCATTCCTGTAAAAAAGCTTTTCTAAAATATGGTTTCAGCATCCTCTAATTTCCTCTGGCATCGAGTTCCAGAGCCTCAGGTACCAGCCGGCGCCTCTACCTAATATTTACAACGGCGTCATTAACTCTGAGATATAACTGGAGATCCCACTGTGCTGAGCTTTAAAAGTTATTAAAAGACTCTTAAAATAATTCTGAAATTTAACTGGTAGCCAATGAAGGGGAGATATGGGCCCTATGCTTGGTGTTAAAATGTGAATCTGCACTTGCTGAGGCCATGAATTGCCTGGTGCACGCAAATCGAGGTGTGAGAAGACAAGGGCATGAATATTTTTTCTACAATAGAAAATGTCCAATATCTGTCAATATACAGTATAATATAGATAAGTCAATAAATAGTATGTTTTTCCACTGGATGAATGTTCAAGCAGTCTCTGCAGCCCAGTGATACAGAACAAATGGCTCCCTCAGACAATTTAAAAATCTGTATCCATTAATAGTTAAGTTTAGCATTGAAACCTCAAGGGCGTCCACATCAATCAAAATCTCA